AATTCATTCGTAATATATTTCAGCTTAATGGTTTTCCATCGTGCCTTGTGTTAGGTAAAATCAAACGCTTCTTATTTAACAATTTTTCTGAAACTGTGACTGAATGCGATTGTAAGAAAATTATTTATTGCACATTGCCCTATTTCGGTATTGCGTCTGAAACTATGTCCAAAGAACTAAAGATTTTGTTGATGAAATATTTCCCCCAAATTAATTTGCATGTTATGCTGGTAAATAATTTCAAAATTGGTTCTTTCTTTAGGTATAAGGACGTTATTCCTGCCCGGATGCGGTCAAACCTGGTCCATGAGTTCAGTTGTGCGCGCTGCGCAACTGCGTACGTTGGAATGACGTCGCGTAACTTCTACATCCGGGTTTCTGAACATCGCGGCAGTAGATATCGTTCTAACTTGCCTCTCTCCAAGCCTCCTCATCCTTCCGTGCCCCTCCACGCTGAACAGTGCGACGTGGCTGTATCTGAGAGTGATTTCAGGATACTCGGTTCCAATTCTGGCTGCTCTGATTTGAGAATTTTGGAGTCTCTACATATTTTCAAACGAGGACCGTGTCTCAATAATGCATTTAGTTCATATAATCTTGAAATAGTGAATCGCTAGGCTCTGAAATTTTTTCTTTTCGTGACCCTTAGGACTAAGTTGTTCCAATCGAGTAACGTTTCTTTTATATAATGTTAGTTCTCGTTTAGGTTTATATCTATCTTAGAATTTTGACTTATAAAATGATTTTAATAATTTTTAGATTGTCGATCTGATGATGGAGCTGGACTCCGAAACGTTTTTAATGCCTAATGTTTTAATGACAATAAAAGAAACGGAAATACATTGTTTTTTATTAGGTACTGTCTCACTTGTATCGATACGCTACCTCCTCGAATTGTAAAATTTTGTCCCTAATAATATTATTGGAAAAAATTTAATCCGACTAGCAGCTGGTTCTGCTTCAGCCAGGTCCCTTTGCGAGATTAAAATTCCGCAATAAAGCCTTTGAACGATATATATACCGGATTCTAGTAGTAGGATCAACCAACTAACAATTGAAGGTGATATTTTAGCTCAATAATGGGACTACATTTACTAATTCAATTTCCAAATGATACTTTCGTTATAACAAAGACTTGACTCAGCAATTCCTGGCCGCTTTGCAACTGATCAAATAAAAGCAAATGAGAAGCCATCATGTCACAGCGCAGATGAAAATACGTGCGCACAGAGCTGTAGGTTAGGTGATAAATATGTCATCATCTGAAGTGATATCGAAGAGTAAATTCAACGTAGCTCTCATTTATTTCAACATACACCATTATTGTAGACGGGTAGTTAGACGAGTCAGTTAATACAGGAGTGAAAATTAACACGTACTATTTGTGTCAGTTATCACATAAGAGAGAGATAGGATGCACGTTACTGACCTTGTACGCCATGATCTGCCTCAGAGATCCTGGCCATATATACTTGGTGGCCGCTGAAACACCAAGTTGAGTTTTTGCTGCCATAAAGCACCAAACAAGGTAAACAGTGTAGAGACATAACAGCCTCATGTCTACCATAACAAGGAAAACGTCCAGTTCCAACTCCTCCGTCTCACAATAATGCCAAGAACCATTACAAATTCCCATGAATCAATACCACTTGAAAAGCATCGCTACCTAACTCCACCACAGCAAAACTAAGCAAAGTTCACTCCGGTTGTGACATCATAAATAATAATAATATATATAATAATGATAGCGGTGTCAGCGTTTATTAGGCCGTAGGCCTGTCGTCGATTCTTAACATTGCAGAACATTCAAAGCTTGTTGCGGGTCTCGAACCTCTCTGCCACAATCGTGGTACTCTGAACTGGAACCACTGTCCACCCTGTGAATGAACAGAATGCAAAGCTTCTCGGCCCTCCATTACCAGATCACAGTTATGCAATGTACCCCTAACTAATCCCTTCAAAGTCACAATGTAAACTCCCGTTACCTAACTCCACATCGTCTCTGCAATATAATGAACCCCTACCTAACACTACCAAGTCAGAACTTATAGAAGCATCTCTTCCCAACTCGGTGAGCACATCGTTAGGACTGAGGGTTCGAGGTTCGAGCAGAGGGTACAATGGTTGTTCGAGTACTTTGTGGCAAGCCAAGCTATGCGAGAAATATTCTTATAAACAATCCAACTGGCAGATACACACAAGTGACTCGAGTGACGTGAAGGCTTTAATTTATATCAAAGCGGCGGTTAACTTGTGTCAGCTGCCAGGTTTGCAAGCGTGCAGTGAATATTTTCCGGGACGGCATGCATACGCTAAAGCCAATTTATTGTACTTCAGTTTAAAAAGAGAATAGTCCATCAAACCGATTCATTAACCGATTACAACAATTCTACTTCAAAATCAAAGCAGAAAATGCCAGCTACGGTTTCAATGCTATTTACGGGACAACCTCTTCATTGTTGTACAACACCTCTATTTTAGACCTTAATCGTACGTCGTATTAACTATTCTAATTCAAATTGTAGCCATTTAGTACTCCTTCGCGTTTCATTATAGCTGCCACTTCTCTACTAATTTCTCAATCAGCGCCATCGCAACTTTCAACATCATCATAGCTGCCATCTCTGCACAGGTGTGACTGCAACCTCAACATCTTTGCTACTGCCGCCCCAACATTATTGTAGCAGCCATATCAGCCCTTTAGAATTCACCATTACTGCAGCGCACACAAACCATACAGTCAACGTGCAGGCGGCGTCCATCAGAGAGGGGTAATTCCGGTACGGATGGACAAGAATGCGCAGTCCGTATCATCGTTGGGGTCGGTGGGCCACCAAACCGCTGAGCCCGTCACGCCGCTCATGACTTGACCGCCGCTCCAGCGCCACACGCCGTTGTAGCGGTGAACTCCCAGGAAGTATAGTTGATGTACCACGTGGTGCCAGCTGCTCGTAATCAAAATAGAGCCAGGTTTTTATTATTACCAATCACGGCTGATATTAGAATATCGGTTGAAAATTTATTGGGCTGAAACCCATTTTTTTATAAAGAAATGGTTGGTTTTTTGGCTATTATCTTAGTTTTCATTTTTTTATGAATTTGCGATCTAATAAATAAATTAAATAAATTTAAATCGCATCTAATAAATGTGATTTGGATTTGAATGAGTTTTAGCAGGTATCATTGGCAAACACAAAAAATCACAACGATTTTCAGTTATTAAAATAATCAATTACTTATATGCAAAGAAACCAGATATTATTATCATAAACATTATTTATGAATATCAAACCGCGGAAGTGAGTCTGGCATAAGAAATTTTTTTGTTCCTTGCACTAAGACAATCTCAGAATCGGATAAACAAAACACGTAAAATTGCATTATATTAAGACTATCCAAGTCTCATTTATATCATCGCAGGTCATGTTTGAAGTCTGTTTACATGACGTAAATTCGTGATGCACATTTTTAATTTCTCCTTCCGAGTTATGTTGGCTCCGTAAGAACATGACGAACCCTTCGAGGGCTGTTTGCATGCCCGGGTTTGTCACGTCGATAAAAACAACGCGAACCGCTCAATGACTGTTTTCTTGAGCGAAGTAAGTTAGGTAATACGATCGCACATTGCTAGATAACTGTGAAGATACAATGTCTTGAAAATGGTGCAGGTATCGCAATGTATCGTCACAGTTATCTGGCGATGTGCGTTCGTATAACCCAGGGGGTCACCAAACTACGGCCCGCGGGCCAAATCCGGCCCACGACGTCAGTTCATCAAGCCCGTCAACGGTACTTAATTTGCTTGATAAAACGGTTGGAACACGAGATGTTGTGATACAATTTAAATTTTATGTTTATAATACTAGGATGTCTTCGCGCGTGCGGAGCCCTCCTGGCCGCTATGTGCCAGTTGACCTACAGTTGGAGCTCATTGATTTGCAAGCTAATGACTTTTTGAAGGAGAAGCACAGAGAAGGAAAACTTGTCGAATTTTGCCGCTGCTTACCTGATCCTGAGTTTCCGAAATTAAAGAAATTTGCCGCTGGTATGGCATCAGTGTTAGGAACAACTTATGTCTGTGAGCAAACATTTTCAAAAATGAAGTATGTGAAGTCAACACGTCGAACGAGATTGACTGATGAACATTTGAAAACAATTCTCTAGATTGGATGCAACAATTCCAAACCAAACATTGATGATATCTTGAAAGCCAAACGTCAATTTCACAAATCTCCCTAACCTTTTTTGCTGTTTAGTTTGTGATATTCGGATATGTGCACACTAGGTCTGATGTACCTATATTTTTTTGCTTACGTCGCCTTTTTTGAAAACTTTTTAATGAATAAAATGTTGGCTGTCTTTGTTTTTTTATTAGCATGGAATGCTAAATTTGGTTTTACGTTTTTTTCCAGAGTTTCGTTCTGGCTTGCAAGCATTGAACAGAATGATCATGCGGCCCACGCTCGTCATTCTTTCAGTTATCCGGCCCACTCTGAAAAAAGTTTGGTGACCCCTGGCCGCCGCCTATAACCCAACGTACTTAGCTCAAGAAAACAGTACAATGTCGTAACTAAACGGTGCTTGTCGAAGCACCGTTAGAACTTCCCAGAGCCCAAACCCAGGGCTACCTCCTCTCATATCAGTGCCACTACCATTTCACTGCAGAGTTTTGACTGCACCTCTGTATATCATGCAATGTATTGGTTTCCATTTTTTGTTATGTTAAGGCAAGTCCATGTTATCCAATGAGTTTGCTGTTTATATATTGTGCCTGTTGATTTGTTTGGTATCGGGTAAAGATAGTTTACCCGTGGGATTAAAGTTTTGAAATTTCTATTGCACAATTTTTTCTCTAATTCACGCTATCCAGATCGTATAATACAAGAGAAAAACATGTGAGTAATTAGGATTGACTCACACAATCGGACAAATAATTAAAGAATAGTCAGCTGAAATTTATTCAGAATAATTTAACGTGCAACTGGCGTTGCTCGGCCAGTTGAATGAGGAAGCCGAATTCAATAATTCATATGCTGTTGTATAGAAATCTTTGAAGAACGGGCGGTTCAATGAAGGTATATTGAATGTAGAATCTCAAGTTCCCCAAAGGTGTTGCCCCGACGAGTCCCAGATACTGAAATGAAAATTTAATCACTTACTAAACAATTAATTTATCACAAACTAGTTATGCAGCAAATTATTCCAAATTATGAATCAATAATCATTAAATAACTAAATTGACCAACCTAAGATTTTGGTGCATCTCAGTGCTTAATGCGTTTAGTAAGATGCAAATCAGAAATATAGATGAAATCAGTTTAAAGGAAGGTAATCCAGACGGAAAAATAGAAAAGGACAGTTTGAGATTTTGACTTTGGAAAATTGAAGATAAAGTTATTAAATCGTGGGTCACAGCAAAGGAAACTAGTCCCTCTACCAATATCAGAAACCACGTAGCTAATTTGAAATTTAAGGTATTAAGGATTGAATTGAATATTGATTTGTCCAGAGTACCATAGAAAAAAATTGTACATAGAGCGTAAATAATTAATATGAAAAAAGCTACATTCACACCAACAAAAAGATAGTGAAACAGTAATCAGGAAGATAATTAGAATCTGAAGGTCCTGTTGCTGTGCTGGCTGAAGTGATGGTAGGTGCAGAAATGAATAACTGAGAATTATCTGAGTTGGAGTTAAGGCACGTAGCCAGATTGAACGTCTGAATGGTATGAATGCTTATGAAGGCGTATTAACCTAGCGGGTACTGCTACCTACTTTAACTACGTAACTAAACTGAATACAACAAAACTGCGAACGCAACATGAACAGAAAACGACATATAGACAACAAATTTACAAATGATTACAAAAATTATTAATGGTGGGAAAAATTTCCCACAAACAAAAGAAAGTTGTAAGTTGAAAGGTCACCTAAACATTGCCACATTTATTTCCCCTTCAGGCCGACGTTAAAAATAGAATCGGCGATCAAATGCAAACTTTGACCGGATCTGGTGTTTAAGAAACTGAAAATTTGCTTAATTTAACAATCAACCAATTTAGTTAGAAGCAGGATAAGAAATGTTGTTTTTACGTAGTCGGCCAGTTCGCTGGGGTTATCGTAGAGCAGAGATTCATAGTTTTATAATGAACTTAGAGACGTAGTCTATAATTACACGGTATGTAGGAGGTCTGCATGACGTAGTCGGCGAGCGTCTGGAAGTTGTCGTAGAAAAAAGACACGAGCTGTGAGCCTCCAGGGCACGAGGCCTGAGCGACGTCGTACGTCACGAGGGTCTCAACCACAACCACACAACCAACGTCCGCAACCCAGTGGAAGGTAGCTGGACAGGGTGGGGCTGTAGGATGGACTGAAAGGGTTAATTTATGTCACGGTGGTCTCACCACAACCACACAACCAACGTCTGCAACCCAGTGGAAGGTAGCCGGACAGGGTGGGGCTGTAGGATGGACTGAAAGGGTTAATTTATGTCACGGTGGTCTCAACCACAACTACACAACCAACGTCCGCAACCCAGTGGAAGGTAGCCGGACAGGGCGGGGCTGTAGGATGGACTGAAAGGGTTAGTTTATGTCACGGTGGTCTCACCACAACCACACAACCAATGTCTGCAACCCAGTGGAAAATGGCCGGGCAGGGTGGGGCTGTAGGATTGACTGGTAGGGTTAATGTACGTCACGAGGGTCTCAACCATGCACGACCACACAACCAACGTCCGAAACCCAGTGGAAGATTGCCGGGCAGGTTGGGGCTGTAGGATGGACTGGTAGGGTTAATGTACGTCACGAGGGTCTCAACCATGCACGACCACACAACCAACGTCCGAAACCCAGTGGAAGATTGCCGGGCAGGTTGGGGCGGTAGGATGGACTGGTAGGGTTAATGTACGTCACGGTGATCTCAACCACAGCCACACAAATATTCATAAACCGCTCAAGATTTTAAGCGAACGACAACAGTAAACGATACTGTGTCTTCAGGAACGTTTATCGTAAAGAATTAGGTGCTAGGAAAAGCTTACCCAGACCAGCTGCACGAGCGTACGTTTCGTCCAAGTAGCAGCTGTAATTCGAGGGAGCGAAAGTTCTGATGAAAGGGTCTTTGGACGTCGAGTTCAGGGGCAGACATTCACCGCTGGTTTTGTGCAGGCAGGCGACGGGGAAGCTATGTACCTCAGCCCTGCATGCGCAGTGGATGGCGTTCATGCCAGAGTATGTCTTCGTTTCCACCCCAACTGCAAGAATTTTTTTCAGCTTGTACATTCATTGAAATGTATTTTTCCGAGAAACTTGCCTCTTCTTTGCTAATTATTGACATTAGGAGCACAGTAGCTCTTCCCAACAACATTCTGGCTCCGTGGCTGCTGGTAGAGGCACTAAATTATATCAATTGCCGCATGAATTCGTTCAAGTGTCTGTTTCGCAAATCTTCGTCGACCAGCTTTCAAACCGAGCAAACCCATTAGTGTATCCCACTGACGAGCCGAGCCAAGTAAAGACAAGCCACGTCGGGCCTGCCACTAGCTGCTTTCTGTAGGGGCTGGGGTATTAGTCAGCCTGTACGTGTATTGCGCAGTGTCATCGGTCTCGTTAATTTATTAGCTACATCAAAGTTATGACATTTTCCGTTAAAAAGTATTTAGCCATGTATAATGACATGCTAAAGTTTTTAACAGGTGCCATGGACAGTTCTGAATCTATTGGTCATTACGACTGTAATTTCCTAATAAAATTCAACACATTCATTCGACTAAATCTCTGGTAATTCGGGAATCATGTACATGACAAAATTTTTCTCTCCTTTTGCTCCTTCTTGAATGCCACTCTGCTTATCTAGAATATTGACTAGATGCAAATTGCTTGCGTAATAGTATATGCTAAAGATTATGAAAATCGCCCAATAAATTGCGCAACACTTTCAAAATGGCAGACGCTCGATTTACTGGAAATGGAGCGTCTCAATTCAAAATGGCATACGCTCAAAATGACAATCAAATAGACACTCAATTTTTAGCGCGAACAAGGAGATTGAGCGCTTATATTGAGCGTTTTTTGGCTTTTCAATAGCACATTTATTATAACTGCCGCTCTCTTCGACTCTCATCTGTACGACGGTACGAGCAAGGTTCGTAAAGTGCGTCGCCGAAACAGGTTCGCGAGTCAGGACCGGCTGGCGAAACACTCGAGTCCGACTCTCTATAGTGTATGCGCCGGCCCATTTGATGCCCTAACACTTGGGGCATTATCAAAAAATGATCACCCTGAATTATGCACATCATTTCGAAATAGGACAGTATCCAGATATGATGAAAGGATGTGATGTGTGCAAATATTAATTTATTAAGCATTCTAAATCATCTAGACGCATTTGTGGCGAGATAAGGAACGAAATAAAAATGAAGTTTCATTGCATCAAACGATGAGGTAAGAATTTAAACATTACTTAGTGTAGAATACGCCGAAAAGTGGAGATAAAATGTTCCTGGGTGTTGAATGTTCCAATTGTAATATCAAGCAGAAAAGTTCAAAGAAACCCGTCACATGGGATCAATTCAATGCCAAGTAGAGAGGTATCATAGAAATGGGATGTTCGGTATACGGGTAAAATGAGCGTGGGTACAAAATATCACGTCCAGCAATTAACGGGATGACCTAAGTAGTGCAAATCGGGACCTGGCAATATCTAGGGCGTGTCACCGAATATCCTGTATGGACATCCTCTGTCATAAAACGCTTTCAACCTCCCAACTTTCAAATTTTGAAGGCAGACTTATCAGTTTAGAATTTCAAATGATTTGAATAGTGATGATTTAATGAATGTTTCTTAACCATGAAATTCAGAACTTTCAGATATATTACAATTTATTCAGCAAATTAAAGTTGAATTCGTCAGTTAGAAATTAGATAAAATTTGCACTCGCGGTGCGGTGACTGCAACTTTTCAATTACCTTGAAATATCACGAATGTTTCTAACGGATTCATCAACTCGGGTTATTATTACCAAAGCTCCTGACACATTATATTCATTAACAAGAAGGTAATAAGCACAAAGCACCTGCACCTCCGGCAGTCCTCAGTTCCAGTAGCACTCTGATGTTCAGCGCTGGTTCGATCCACTCAACATTAGAGGTAGCGAGGCACTAGCTTTGAAAACTTTTTCCAAAGTTCCTCTAACCTCTGATCAGCCGCACTTACAGCCTGCGGGTAATAACGCCATTAACAGTGGGATTCGTGATTTTCGCTTAGCATGGAACATGAACGCACGAAAGTTTGAGAGTTTGAACTTTTTTGAGGCATAACTTGGGGAGCGCAAACCCTTCAGTCTTTTAAAGCAGGGCCTTGTAGGCAATTTTTGCCCAACCAACCTTTGACCGCCTATAACACTCCTCAAACGACTCAATGAGATATGTCTCAGCTGGTGACCGCTGCAGTTACCGATCGGTGCGTGCACAAAAAATATTAATATAAATAAAAAACATAGTTCTGTGACTGCTCCAGTGCGTTGATTACAGGTGCTCCTGAATATATGCGTGAATCACAATGTCCTAATCGTGACTCACTTTCTCACCAACAGTATGAACAACAGCATATATAATGATCTAAATTTAGGATCGACCATTTCTTCATGAGACGTTGGTTGATCAAAATGCAGGTTTAAGGAAGAAATTTTAGCTTATAAACAACCTTTCGAATGCGACAATTATTTGCACTACATTGGAAGAATTATTTCAAAATTGATCAGCCGTTTATCCCGCCACCTGAGCTAACCCTATCGAATTTTTTTTCCTGTCAGCTGCTGGCACAAGGACGCCCCAAGCGCGCCTAGCGGTGTAAATTAGCGGCTCTATGTCCTTTTTAGGTTCCGGTTGCCGGAGCGAAATAGGCGTCGAAACAGAATCTTGTGAAATACCTGTCGAGCTTGGGGCGACTGCGGGGCGCGGGCATTTGGTACCAGATACGTTCGGGACAGACACGGCCGAATCTTAAAAATGCGTTAAAAAATGCCCCCTCCCTTCTCCCTTTTAAGGAGGGAAGGAAGGGGGCATTTGAGTCGCTGTACGCTATTTATATTTATATAGTTGAGAACCGCCACTCCTCAATAGGGAGTATAAATGGGATAGTTTTAGTACCCCTGCCTCTGAAACGTTGGTGTTTTGGTGTACACACGCGATACACGCATACTGACGTACAAGCAGTGAACGCGTGTTAATGTACACATATTGCAAGGGGGTTCGCACAAGCGTAACTAACGCAAGCGTGTTCACGGAAACGTTTCGCAAGCGTCTTGACATTAACGCGCGGCATGCGGGTCGAAGACAACGCAACGCACGCGTGTTAGTTTAATACGCTTAACGGCCGCGTGTCGATGTACAATCTTTGCACGCACGCGTAATGAAGCTTAAGCAAACGCTGGCGCGACCCTAAAATTTCGTTCCAAAATATTGGCCCATAAGTTTCGAAGCGGTTTGCGTGAGCAAAAAACATTTACATCAAGAGAACGTAACGCCCACACGTTGACGCACACGCAATGCATGGGTGTTGAAACGCATGCGTGTAGAAGTTCGTGCGCCTACTCTTGCATCGTATAGGTTTCTGAATCAGGTGTTTGCCACGCTCGCGCTAAGAACTCGTGTCAGCTACTGAGCAGGGTGAGCGTGTGACAGTCTGTTCAGCCGCTTATTGCGGCTGTCATATGCAGATTCGGACAGAAGCAGTAAAGAGGCAGCAAATGAAGCGTGCCTGCGGTGAAGGCAGAAGGCTGTGCTTCATCGGCTCCTCGGGCATGAGACTCTCGAAAAACGGCCCCCAATTAGTAGCTGAGTATGATAGGCGGCCGATTGGTGTCTGATTTGCCTCTAAGGCGGCTATGGCGAGACTCCGGCGCTCCTGAGCAGAATCTGGATTTCGACAGGGAAGTTGTTTAGGTTTCTACATACTACAATCTTCACGCTGCATTTACATGAATAAGTTATTTATTTTCCTGAACACTATACTTCACCTTCATTTTACATTAATAAGATATCCGATCCCTAAGGCGTTTATCCGTACGTTTATCAAGTACAATTCTTGACCTCATTTTAGAGTGACATAAACGGGCTAAAATTTTTAACAAGAACCACATTTCATTACAGAAACGTTCAAATTATCTAAAATTATAACATAGCAGTCGGTGACACAAATAAATTTAACATTATTTAATTCTAAGCATCAATACTATTCTGAATTAGAGCTCCTCTACAAACGTAACAATTCAGCCGAAAACTCCTATTGATTGGAATGAACTTTAAATTGGTTCAATTAGTCTTTCATTATATTAGTCTGTAGTTGGCCAACAAATATTGCTCAAACTCTATAATTCTCATAGCAGTTATCGTTTTTTCATCAATTCTACCAAATTTTGCGAATTCTGGAACAAATTACGGAACGAATTCTGGAACGAATTCTAAACTCTGGAATTACGGAACGAATTCTGGAGCGAATTCCGACGTCTGGAACGAATGACGAGCGGTCCACTGATTGACGATGCGCGTTGGGTTTGATGGCAAACTAGTGGCGACGGAGCGTGTTGGGTACGTGTAATGTCAAACTTGTGGCGACGGAGCGTGTTGGGTACGTGTAATGTCAAACTTGTTGCGACGGAGCGTGTTGGGTACGTGTAATGTCAAACTTGTGGCGATGGAGCGTGTTGGGTGTAATGGCAAACTAGTGGCGACGGTGCGTGTTGGGTGTAATGGCAAACTAGTGGCAACGGTGCGCGTTGGGTGTAATGGCAAACTAGTGGCAACGTACGGTGCGTGTTGGGTGTAATGGCAAACTAGTGACGACGGCGCGTGTTGAATATTACTGCAAACTAATGACATCGGTTCGTGCTGAATATGCACGGATGATTTCGCAATCCGCATTGCCGACTGAGCGAAGTTCAATCTCGAGAATATGAGCCAGGAAATTATCATGCGTGATCTTTAATGGCTGAATGGCATGAAAGCATACGACTGCCTTGAATAAGAAAAAAAAACAGAAACTCTTTGATAATTTGAGCTTGAAATGCACGCGAGTTCCTCATTTCATGCGCATCGACCTAACGCCGCTGATCAGAGCCCTGGTGGAAGTTGAGATTTACGGACGTGTAGTTGTTGTGTGCTCTGATGTGTTTATGTATTGATTTACGTATTTTATTTCTTACTTATCGATCATTTTTTATAATTCTTTTGAATTTTCGAATTGATACCATAATGCCTTGAAATGTAATTGAGAGGCTCGTTGACCTTCGGTCATACGTACATTCAAATCGTCAGCCACACAGCACACATTCATTTTTTCACAAATCTCAAACAAGAAATTCATGACTCCTTGTAGGACGCTGCGTAAATATCATAAGATATTCGCTTAAAGAAATATTCGCTGAAATATCAAAAGAGATTCAAATTTATTCAATCAAAAATTGCCGACGTACATCCTGTAAACAGAAACAAAAGTACAGACATTAGGTATATATTAAACTGGCTCTTTGTTTTTGTTCCAAAATCCTAGGACTCCACTTTGACATCCTCCTCTGTTTCAGCATCAACACGTTTTCCAAATATCACTTCGCGCTCTCAATCACAGCAACAGTTGCTACCTCAGACATACCAACAATCATCGCAATCCACTCCCACTTGCACTCTCATACTTTTCACCAAACACACATGAAGCTCCCATCATATTTGCTCTCATTCCGCTTGTCCATCCTTTTCACCCTAAATCCGTTACTGTCTCACTTTATAACTCAAAACTCGTCCCATTTTCTCTCCTTAAAGTTACTCCATTCTATGATCCCTCTCGGCCTCCACCGCAATCCCCCTGGGGGCTCCTATCGCCTCTATGTTCTGTTTCCGTTTATCTAGATCACCATCATTGTTTGCTAATGCAGCCAATCCATACATAATACTGAGAACTGTCGGACTTTTTCGTACGTCTTCTAATACTAACTACTTACTTGCTCTCACTGTTGCTGAACTTCCACGTATGCCCAAGGACTGATATGCCCTACCTAAATTAACGGCATACTCATATAGGACCTCGCACAGCCCTAGTCCACGCACAAACCTAAGTAAAGCTATACTCATTTACCAGAATCTAAAATTAAAGCGTTGATAAACCACCATTTTTACTTGATAGTAAATTACGATTCATAGAAATAAAAATGTCTCTAAGCAACCTCATCATTGTAATATTGCATTCAACTACGAGTCTTGCATGCAAAATCAAAAATCTCAGGACATGGTAGCTGAAAAGAATAATTCTCTGGTCTCGAAGAAAACAAGTTTCAAATGACAACTTCAGCCCAACTATTGCAACATATTTGTGTGTGTCCGTATATGCTGTAATTTACAATGCTATGTGCAAAGATGTCTGGAGCACATCAATTGGAAAAGAGATAGATACATATCTTGTTCAACACCGCCCTCAATTATTAAAGTTCCAATATTACTAATTTCATAGGAAGAAATGAACATTTTCCAATTGAATTAACTGCAGGTCTGGAACTTTAATTGTGGATGCTTTGCTGCAGTTAGTTTGCAGCTTTTCTGTTTGGTTTAGGGAATAGACCTAGATGAGAAACCCATTAACCATACATGCACAATTAAATCGCCGGGTTTCAGCCTCAAGACAGACGACAGCTGATCTTTTAATTGGTATCCATCCACTGCCACACTGCCAGAATGATGTTAGGAAAAGTTACTGCGCTCCATAATGGTTGCAATGAGTAAGAATCGTCAAGTTATTCTGAAAAATATAAGTTAGTGCCTGCAAAAGCTGAAAAAATCATTGCCCTTGGTGCGGAAACGAAGACATTCACTGGCATGAATGCTATTCACTGCGCATTCAGAGCTCAGGCACTTCACTTCCCCATCGCCTGCCTGCACAACATCAGCGGTGAATGTCGGCTCCTGAACTCGACGTCCCCCGACCCTTCCTTCAGAACCTACGCTCCGTCAAATTACACCTGCTACTTGAACGAAACTTATTGGAAGAC